TTAAATTCTCAGAGAATTTTCTTATTGGGATAACAGGGAAGAAGAGGATAAGTAGAGGAAAGCCCCAAGAACTACATTAGGGAAAGTATTTCAACCAGAAGGAACAAAGGTGGTGAGGACTGTGAGCTAAGAGAGAGCTCAGTCTGCATGAAATGAAGAAATATGTGGTGATGGTGTGTGGTCAGAATAAGAACAGGGCTATATATGAAAGTGGGGGAGGCTAGATCACACAGGAGCTTGAAAGTCAAATTAAGAAATAGAGAAATCTCGAAAGTGGGAAATGAGCTGGGTGCTGGTGGCTCACACCTGTAATCCTAGTTACTCAGGAGGCTGAGATCTGAGGATCGAGTTTCAAAGTGCACGAAAGTCCGTGAGCTTCTTGTCTCCAATAAACCACTAGAAAACTGGAAGTGAAGCTGTGGCTCAAGCTAGCCTTGAGCTGAGGAGCTGAGGGACAGCACCCAGACCCAGAGTTCAAGCCCCATGATGGACAAAAAAAGAAAAACAAAGAAAAAATAAAGTGGGAAATGTGTCTGATAGGACTCCAGGCTGAGGGGGGGGGGGGAGGGGGAGAGTGTTGCGGGAGGAGATGTGAGAGAATGATGGAAAAGGTGGGTCTGGTCAAGATTTACTGGCCACCTACATGGGCATGTTAAATTAAAATACCCTTGCTTTGTTAAATAGCAACTCTGTTGTACAACTACTTAAACAAGACACATTGTGGAATTAAGACTTGGTACAGAAAACAAAAAGGTTTCGTGGGTAGAATGAATAGTACTCGACAATAGATTGGATAGGAGAAGTACATGTTAGGGAAATGTGGAGAGTTAATCCTAAAATTCTAGTAGGTTAAGAGATTAAGGAGGCTAGAAAAGAAACTCATTGAGGAGGGAAAAATGTAGTTCAGCTTTGAACAAATTAAATTTGAGGTACCTCAAAATATCCAACTAGATAAGCCAAATGGAGTGCTATGTACATCAACCTGGGCTCAGAAGAGATCTTGTGATATAAACTTGAGGACCATGGGACTAAAGATGGAATGGAACAGGTTCTTTGTGACTTCTGAGAATCATTTCAGTGAGGTAGGTGGTAGATAGGCACACACTTGATTGCAATGGCTTGAGAGAAATTGGAAGTGCTCAGTAACAGATATTTACCATTCTTTCAAGTAGTTTAGAAAAAGAGATTAAGAAAAATCTTAAGTGAGACACAGGATAGGGTGGAAGTGATTTATGATGAGTTTTAGCCTTATAGACTATAACAAGAGAGGTAGTGGAAAAGGCAAGATTGTGAATTGAGAGATCAAGGGTAAGATATGTGTGGACTGAGATAATATTCCCAGAGAAAGAAGAAAGAGATGGAATCCTGAGTGAAGTGGGCAAGGAGAGGCTATAAAAGAATTGGGGCACGATTCTGTCTGAAATATAATGGTTCACTCCAAATGGTGCAGAGTAACAAAGCTTAGAAGAGTGATGAGAACATAGAGATTTTAGGCCTGGAATGATGCCTACATTTTTGAGTGCAGTGAGAGGTGATGCCATCTGCTGACAGTAACAGAATGAGATTGGGGCAAATGTTTCATAACTCATGCTATAGAAAAATAGGTAAAAGGTCCTTGCTTTCTCCATCATTGTTACCCTAAGCCCTGAGCATATTCATAAAGCTCGTAACTATCAAACCTTTATGTGATTGTTTTATTGATTCCAAATTCCAAATCTTCTTTATACTAATCCCTTGATTGATTTTCCTATATGCTATTAACTCATTTTATGGCATCCAAGGGCTATGAAACTGTTAATCTGCTCCCAGTTCAAGTAAAATTTCAATTTAGCCAGCCTTTATGGCCTCTCCAATTTTCCTTGATTAGATGACATTAAATATAAACAGAACATCTTTAATTTGTCTCAAAGGAAAACGTTGTCTGCCTTGGATGGGAGGAACATACAAAAACTTTTAAGGTAGGCAAGATTTCCCTTCCATTGACCACAGAAAAGTATTGTTGGTTGTTTTATTGATGGAATGTCTATCATTCTCATTTAGAGGTTTGTATTTATAATCACTTTAAAGCTCTATTGTAAGCTGGGTGTCAGTGGCTCACGCTTGTAATCTTAGCTACTCAGGAGGCTGAGATCTGAGGATCACTGTTCAAAGCCAGCCGGGGCCGGAAAGTCTGAGACTCTTCAATTAACCACCTGAAAATTGGAAGTGGCGTTGTGGCTCAAGTGGTAGAGTACTAGCCTTGAGCTGAAGAGCTCAGGGATGGTGCACAGGCCCAGAGTTCAAGCCCCATGATTGACAAAAAAAAAAAGCTATATTATAATCTGGATATAGAGCCAGTTCAGATAGAACTGTTTCACAGTGCCACATTTCTTTATTAATACTTAAAACATGGATGTATACTCAACACAGTATTTGTTAATAATTAGCACCATATTATATAGTTAGATAGAAACAAAGAATTCCCCATCAGTCTCCATATTATTGACACATGTCACATCATCACTTGAATTATGTTAAGATTTAGGATCTCTTTATGTTGGTTTATCCAATATTAAGTAGGCATACATTTTAAGTAAAATGTTAAAGCTCAGTCATACTGTCAGCTGAGATCCCCCCTCTCCCTCCCTCCCTTCCTTCTTTCCATAATGAAATAAAGTCCTGTTTGGTTTTCACCATGTTTCCACAACTTTAAATATTTGACCATTGTCCTAAGAGCTAGGTTCTGCTTCAGCTTCTGAGCTCAGGTGTGACATTTAGCAGAGTTAAATATGAGACACATGGACTAGTCTTTGCTTGATACAGTATACTCAACATGGAAGCACTCCACTATTCAGATCTACTTTCAACTCTGCTCCCTTCCTTACTTGTTGAGGGCAGGATTCTGTGATGGGGAGTAGATGCTTGGGTTTGAATCCCTGGTATAGCTCTAGCCTCTCCCTCTCTCCCTGAGTAACTTATTTTATTATTTTGAATCTCAGACATCTCATCTCTCATATGTTAGAATACTTTTGTCATATAAGTATTACATAATGTTTTCTCAATTAGCAAAAGAAGGCACCTGTTTTCCCCAAGTTGTTACCTTAATATATTCCTCATTACACAGATTCTTTCAGGCATAGGTCTTTTCCTTTTGGGTAGATAAGTACCTTTAGGGACTGTAGTTCTGTGACTGTGGAAACCCTTTGACGGTGCCTTATATTTGCCTGTGTTCTTGCATTTTAGATAATTTTTAGTGACCTAGTCACCATACTTCCTCTCTGACTAGACAATTGACTGAATATTACTGAATTTCTTCAATGATTGTTATATGCCTTGGCTATTGTCTTTTGTATAATCCCGTTATTTTATGGTTATGTTGCACTATTTGGCTGTGTAGAGTTCTTTATTTCCTGTCCTACAAAAACATTAGATTGACGTTTTGCTTCAAGTGAACATAAAAATCACCTACTTTCTAATGTGAACAACAAAATTTGTCAACTTAAGGAAAAGCACTAACTTACATTGTAAGAAAACTCAGTATGTATAATAAGCAAATAACGATTTGGTGAGAAATTGATGATGACTTATAACAGAAACAGTTCTGGTAGTTCTCAAAATTTATTGTTCCTCTAAGTAAATAATGATGAATATTGTGAAGTCTTGAGATTTGAGTGGATGGAAGGTCCTAATTCCATCCAGAAGTAAAGGTTTAAGATAAAAATCACAAAGTCAAGGAAGGAAGTCAGTATTAAAAGGTAACTCATATAGATGAGCAATTCATGATTTCTCTTTCTTTTTATTCTATCTTAAAAATAACAGCTACTTTCTGAGTGAAGGTTTTACTTAATTTATAAAATATTGTGAATCATTAATATATGATTAGGATTATGGTTCAAATGTTATCATCTTTAAATTTAAACTCAAAGTCCCATTAATACTTTCATATTGAACCCTTCCATGTTTTCCAACTTCTTCATATGGTGAGCTTTAAAGCTAAGGTTTTAAAGAAGACGCTATGAATTTTCTTGTTCATTACATGGTTATAGAAACATTACTGTTTCTAAATATAGAGATATCCCTGTAGATACATCTCAATTTCTATGTATCCAATGGAATTAGAAAATCACTGCTAATGCTTAATAACAAGGTAGAGAAACATCTATTCATCAATGATACTGTAGATGTACTTAAATTTCCCTACTTTTCCTTTACCTTCTTGATTTTTAGATTTAGGTAGTGTATTAGATAATATAAATAAATTAATTGAGTACTCATTATATTAAATGACACACAAATGATCTGAATTAAAGTGCTTTAGGTTCTGAATTAACTACTTCATATTTCTGCACTTTTCAAAACCAAGGAATAATCTTTCTTGCATTCACTATCAATAGGTTCAAATACCTCTAAATTTATGAGTAAGAAACAGTGACACCAAGACAGTCAATCAAACTAAATCTTAGTGTTTAAAATACTCACATTGTTAAGAAAGCAATCAATGAAAAACAACCCCAGAGACCAAACCAAAATCAGTCACTGAGACATGAAAAACATTAAGTCTTTGGCCTCATGACATATCATTTATCATCTGCCTCTCTTTATAGATAAAGATATATTATGCACACAGCTTCTGCCACAGATTTTGTTTAGACAATTTACAGGTCAATAGGTGATAGAACCCAAAAATATTCTCCAGGTATTTTTTCATATGAAAGAATTTTACTCTTATTAATGCAGCTTGGATATTGGAGGCTTTGGAAGAAACTCTTAAGAAAAAGAAAACATGAGTTTACAAATTGTTAAACTAAAGTAAGTAGACTTTTCCTAATTGTCCAAAGGGTCATTTAATGGAAATGATCTTGGACCAATGATATAAGGGAAAGTATTATTAATTATAAGTCCTTTAAATGTTGGCAGGAAAATGTACCTAAAAATACATCAGTAACCATCAGTGAAGCAAATGGTGAAATTTAATTGGACCAAGCTAGCTTTATTCCCATTCCCCAGTGAAAATCACTCACAACTTTCAATCTCCAGGGTGCAGTTTTGCTCATCCAGAGGGTATCTTCGAAGGTCCATCATACAAGCAGCTGTAGTTGTGATCCTGACAGGGTGAGAGAGAAAACAAGGTGTCACAGGAGTGGTAAAATCCTAGTCATGTTTATCAGATGGCAGAAATAAGGCATCAAATTTTCTGAGAGCTTACGGTAGCAAGTTGAGCAACCTAGAGGGATAAATTCCTAGGAACATACAGCCAACCAAGAATATTTCAAGAAACAAATAATAAGAAGCCTGAAAATACTAATAACAAAAGATTGGATCTGCAATCAAAAATTTTCAGCAATGAAAAGCCAAGACGGATGGCTTTATGGGTAAATTCTACCAAGCATCAAAGCAGAATCACTACTAACTCTTCTTAAACTTTCCCAAAAATTAGAAGAAAACTTTCCAAAAATCTTTTTAAGGCCAGAATTACCCTGAGTCTAAAACCAGATAAAGGCAAAACAAAAGGAGACTGTAGGCCAATATCCCTGATGAACACAGGTACAAAAATCTGAAATAACCTATTAAAAACCCGAATTAAGTAGCTCATTAAAAGAATCACTTGCTGTGACCAAGTAGTATTAATTCTTAGAATGTTAAGAATGCATACACAATGGACATCCAGCAGAATTCAAGCTAAAAGAAATAAAAGTCAATATAAGACAGGTCAAGGACAAAAATCAGTGATGTGATATACCATGATAACAAAATAAAGCCATGTAATTATCACAATAGATACAGAGATTTTTTTTGGATTTATTCTGGAATCTGGAGATAGCAGCATATAGTATGAAACTGGGAACCTCTTCTCCCCTTCCCCCCCACAACTGTTCTGGAGTCAGAAGTTTTACCAAGTCTGATATCTGTCTTGCTCCAACTGAGCTTACGTGTCTATGGTGAACTCTAGAACTGTGACTTGATATCCTAGACTTTCGTTAACCTTGCATTTTCTCTTATGTGGGATGCTTTCCTAAACTGTGGAATCTGAGAGTAAATAAAATTCATATTTATAAATTTAAAAAATCACCTTAAAATTAAATGGTAATGGTCTATTCTTATGCAATAATAAAGAATTGAAAAGATCTAAATTGGTATTTTCTTTCTACTTTAATCCTCAGCAGTTACAACATTTGAATTTTTATGAAAACAGAAGCTTAGCTATCTATTTTTAGGGGAAAAGAGATTTCACAGTAGCTAAAAGACACAAACTGTAGTATATCTTGCTTATTTTCTTTAAAAACACACCTTGAATTTGTTTCTCTACCAGTCAACAATAATCTATCTATAGAGAACTATTATAGTATACTCAATTCCATGGCAGTACCATAGTTTATTTTCTTAATCTTCAGGGAGTATTTATGTTGTTTCTACTTTTTTGGAGTTTCAGAAGATAGTAAGTACTGTAATACATTATTTATATGCATCTTTTTGTTTATTTTATGTATGTATTATTTGTATACTACATATAGATATGTATTATTTGTATATTTTGTTTTGTGATATGTATGTATATACAATACACATTGTACTAAAGCATACAATCTTATGTGTATACATAGAAACATAGATGCATCTACAGTAGTCATTAGGATATTTTACTCCAGAAATGATGTCTGGAGATGTTTCACTTATGTTCACTGGGATTTCAACTCAGGACTTCATGTTTTCTGGGCGGATGCTCTATTACTTGAGACAATCTGCCTGCCCCAGGAGACTTTTTGATTGTTATGTTGGAGCAAGTGTTAGGTGCTGAAATTTCATTGATGGAGGTCAGAAATGCTCTTAAACATTCTATAACAAATGACATCCTTGTGAACCTGTTCTAAAATGTCAGTAGTGCTGAAATTAAGAAACATCGATACATTGGTGCTTTTCAAATATTTTTCCTCTGTGAAAACCTTTCATAAAATGCAATCTTATATACTGAAATCTTACATATAAAAATCTATATAACCGGAAGTGGTGCTGTGGCTCAAGCAATAGAGCACTCACCTTGAGCTGAAGAGTGCAGGGACAACGCCCAGGCCCAGAGTTCAAGCTTCATGACTGATCCCCTCCCCCACCAAATCTATATAACCTAAGTATATAAACTCTAAATAGAAAAAATGAAAATCAGATCTTACTAACATAAAACAAAAATTTGAAAGCAGGGATTACTTATGAGGAATATTATTGTCTTTGTGCTTTCTTATATATTTTTGAGACTTGTTTTTGTATTTTCTTCTTTTAATAATATTTTTTTAATAATAACTTGGTTGTATAATCTTATGTGACCAAGAATGGGCTGTCTGGAATTGGAATAAACAACAACAATACACTCAGGATTTAGGCCAAGAGATCACCTCTAGAACCAATGCAAATTGTTCAAGAGCTGTCACTGATGGTTGGTCTCTAGTGATGCTTAATGATAGATAAAAAGGAAGATTTACTTGATGTTTGAAATAACATAGGCTAACCAATATGAAATCAGTATTCTGGGGAGGTCTTCCATGGATGAAAATGTATCAAAGGATGTATTACAATGTAGACGATTTGACTATAGCTTAAAATAATTATAATTTTATTTTTTAAAAATAATTATTTTTATTTAATATTTTTATGTCAATTAGCTTGCCTTTGTTAATGATACTAATATTTTCTCAGATTAACTTTGTACCAACAACTGATACCAAAAACTGTATCTAGAAAAGTTATCAAAGGATTATCTTGAAATTTAGGGAAAATGTTTGCTCATTTACTCCTTATTTAATCAAATAAGAAAATTTTGAATGAAAATTGCATAAAACTACTTTAATAGGAAAAATAATGATATTCTGCAGTTATTCAGATACTAAGTAAGTAGCATATAATTTGTAGGATGTTTGTAGTGAAGTTATAATTAATGTTAAGTATAAGAAGGAAATTAACTTTCCCACATAAAAGAAAGTCAGTGATCACATAAATTCAACATGATTATACTGACAAAAGCAAAGATACAAACTGTATTACAGTACTTTCAGTTTTCTTGTTTGATACATACATTGATAAAATTTCAAAGATGAAAGAATTTTACACTATATCTACCCAAACCAACTAGCACAATAATAAAATTCCTAGAGCTTAGTTATTACCATCTTAAAAACTGTCTTCTCAAATGAATTCTGAAACCGAATATAAATCAAACATTGATAGAAGAGCCTTAGGAATACCAAAAACAGTATTTATGTTTCACTAATACCGAAAACAGCATTTATGTCTCACTAGTCGGAATATCTCACTGAATATCTCATACTTTTAGACACATGGCATTATGTTACTTAACCACTTTATTTCAAAATCAGGACATGGATTGAAATCTTGTACTGAGTCACTGATTTGCAAGTTGGGAGGCTCTGTTTTTACAAAGTGGTTTTGCAAAATAAAAAATAATGCATCATCTATGAATAATAGATGAGGCATGAATAACAAATGCCTCAGGTGTATGGGTCCCACAGTTGGGAGTAATCAAAGAACCCAAGATGTAAAAAATTACTGAATTTACTGTTGCCATCTGTTACGATCAATCTATTCAATAAGCAGCAGACCTTAATAAAACATATGATTACTATTATCATGGGAGACTATAAAGGCTTGACTATGACTAGAATATTTTACAGTGCTCAAAGTGTGGGTCAGTTTATTTCTTCTGTTCTCAAATCTTATTTTGATATCAATTGAGAAACTATCACGATTTAGCTACTGTGACAGTAGCTTGACTCTTTTTGGAAATGGCTGGTATCAGAGAAATAACTTCCATCTTGTGATCTATCTGTTTCAAATTTCAAATCTCCATGAGGATTTCATTAGCCCAACTTGGGTTAGGTGCAAAAAAAATTCCACAAATTATTTGGTAAGAATTGATGGAGTGTCATGGAAATACAGATAGGGTCTTCAGAGACCCACCGGGGACTCCCTCTATAAGCAGATAATAATTCATACCTATCCAAGCAGATACCAAGCCATACCTGAGCCTGTAGAAATCTTTGCAGCAGAGAGGAGGACTGTAGTGAATTAAGTCTGGTATTTCTAGATTTTGTAATGCTTATGAGAGCTCGAGTTCTTTGTAAAAAAATAACTACTCAGAAAAACAATATTGAACAAAAAAAAGAGGTGCTATACAGAATTCTTTTCACTCTTTTATCTTCTGAGTGAGACACCACGAAGAATGTTTGTAAGAATGATGGCTCCTTGTGTTTCCATTTGTCCTTCCTGCTTAATTTGATGGCCTAGCAGTGGTTGTTACTTCTATAATTAATTAATAATCTACCTGGAAATGTACTCATTTATTATGTATGTATGTATGTATGTATTTATTGGCAGTTATGAGGCTTGAACTCTGGGCCTGGGCACTGTTCCTCAGCTCTTCAGCTCAAGGCTAGCACTCTACCACTTGAGCCACAGTGCCACTTCCAGTTTTCTGAGTGGTTTATTGGAGATAAGAGTTTCATGGATGTTCCTGCTCGGGCTGGCTTTGAACTGCAATCCTCAGATCTCAGCCTCTTGAGTAGCTAGGATTACAGGCTTGAGCCAATGGTGCCTGGCTAAAAATGTTCGTGTATTGGCTAAAGCAGACTCATAGTATCATACCCATGTAATTAAGGTGTCAAATATCACAAAACTGTATGAATTGAGGACTTCAAGATCAATTAAAAAAATTCTGTTTCTGACTTTTCCCACTCAAAGTATGTGCGAAGAAGCACTCTTGTAGGCATTTAGTAAATTTATGTATGAGGTAGAACCAGCAACAGACAAAAGAATTAACTGTACTTCTAAAGATAGATTTCCCAAAGGTGGATTTGTGACAGCATAGCATCCATCTGCTCTTTCAAAGACATTTAGAACAGCTTACATTATAATCCAATTTATTGACAATTGAAGGTTAGGTCAGAACAATATAATGGGCTATTAGTTAGAATTGTGGTCCCAAGATACTTGGGAATGAGCAGAAATGATGTTACTGTAGTGTCATTTGTTAAGGTTCATACTGTATCGTCACTGACCTTAACAGTCACTGGAATTACAAATCATGTATATTAAGTGAAT